GGCTGTTGAGTGTTGAGGGAATTATTTGTTTAGCAGAGTGATGGCGTTCGGGAAAAAACTGTTCTTGTGTCTAATTGTTCTGGTGTGCAGTGCTCTATAGCGTTGTTTTGAGGGTAGGAGTTGAAACAGTTTGTCCAGGATGTGTGGGGTCAGTAAATATTTTCACAACCCTCTTTTTGACTCATGCAGTATACAGTTCCTCAATGGCAGGCAGGTTGGTAGTAATTGTTTTTTCTGCAGTTTTAATTATCCTCTGAAGTCTGTGTCTGTCTTGTTGGGTTGCAGAACCAAACCAGACAGTTATAGAGGTGCAGATGACAGGCTCAATAATTTCTCTGTAGAACTGCCTCAGTAGCTCCTTGGGCAGTTTGAGCTTTCTGAGTTGGCGCAGAAGAACATTCTTTGTTGTGCTTTTTTGATGACATTTTTGATGTTAGGTGTCCGTATTAGATATGGTAGAACCTAGAAATTTGAAGGTCTCTACTGTTGATACTGTGTTGTCTAGTATTGTAAGAAGTGATAGTGTACCATGCAGTTGTGTGAAATTTACGTGCATTTTTAATGTAACAAGAAGCCAAGGAACGCATGGAACTAGAATCTTTTTACAATAATCAGAAAACATACTTTGTGTAAACAAATTCTGAACAGTGTTCATGTTATAGTTTCCAAACGCCATTAGCATATGTGTAGAGCACTAGAGTATGAAAATGTGTAAGAACAATCTTTCCTCTAACATTAGGTACAATTCTGTTCTGGGATGGGTTGTACTTACCTTTACTACCAGTTTGCAATGGGGCCGCACACACATGTTCGCTTCACTTGCGCAGAAGCGTTTTGGTGACGTTGGGGTCGGTGGGCAGAGCCTCCTGCTGGTTTTACTACCGGTTCTATAGAACCGATGCGAACCGGGGGCAACCCACCACTGTTCTGTTCCCTATGGCAATAGTCAAAGTATTTGTGAAACTGAGCAGCTCTGTTCATAGGACTCCTTGAGCCATACCGATTTTATGAATATTTTAGTAAGTTCTGTTTCAGAACAGAAATCTTTTTAAAGGAATCTTTTTTTTAACTGAGTATATAATGTACCTTCAAAAAAAACAAAAAAAACAAAAAAAAACCCAAAGTGTGATGCAACAGTTTTGTTACAGTCAAAACATTTTAACAACCTATTCCCAATTCTAATAATTAATGCAATTTACCTTCTCCCTGCTTTTGGTTTGGGAATTCTTTGTTTATTATTTGTGTCTCACTGGGACCATTAGCTACACAGCTCTGTCTTTCACAAACTCCTGATTACAGACCATCTTCAACTTACACAGACTGGTATTGCTATCAGAAGTTGGTATAGTTGTAAAGCGAGATGTGATGTGACTGCCTGAATTTATAATGGGAATTCTGGCCCTCACAATTTTAGTCTTTAACCAAGAATCATCATTAAGTAGCTATCCACCCCAATCTAAGCCATTCTGGGCTTGGTCTTTCCCAAGTCAGGTAAGGCATGGCCTACAACTCCCCCCCTCTGCCTATTGCCTCCCAATCTTTGTCCTTTGGCTACTCTACATCCTGCCTTGTGAGGCAACAAGCAACCTCAGAACCACACCCCAGAATACCTCACCCACCCCTTTAAGTATCAATCCACCCCAGCATGCATCAATAAGCATTCATTCACCCGTCTTCTCTCTCAGTTCCCCATATCAACCTTTCATGTTTTACACCCAACTGCCACAACCAGAGCAGAAGTGCTCTGATGCCTTTACTCTCTCCTTTTCGAACCCTTTGACACTATGTTACCCCAGGCACTTCAACTTCTCCAAGCCACAGTACTCATGAAGCCCCAGAAAGTGCCAGAAAACATTCCTTTGCTCAGCTACCTTCTCTCCCAAGTTGGTTGCCCACACCAACCTTTCACTTTTTGCATTTAGCCACCATGGCCAAAGCAGAAGCACCGCACTGCTTTGCTTTGCTTCAACCCAGCTGCTTCATTGAACATTTACTACAGTTGCCTCCCTGACCCGTGCTACTTTGGGAATGCTGTGCTGTGTTCAAAATGCTGAGCTATCTTGTAATACACAAGAGAGTGACCTAATTTCCCTAGCAACACAGCCATCTCACAGGCTTCAACTCTATGTCGCCAGATCTCCAGGCCAGACGGCAGAGCCACGTTTTCAGACCTTTCCAGAAGGCCAGCAGGATTGGATCCAGTCTGATCTCAGTGCAAATGATGTTCCAAAAGGTGGGTGCCACAGCAGAAAAGCTGACCTCATGCATCCCATCAGATAGCATTGCTTTGGGGGTGGGAACTACAACACAGCCTTCTTGCTGTATCTGGAAGCAACATGCTGATTGTGAAATCATAGCTACCCATCCCATTGGCGGTCTCTCAAATAACCTAGCTCCATGCCATGTAAAACTTTATAGTTCATTTTACCAGCACCATCAGTCAGACTTAGAAGCAAACTGGTAGATTGGGAAGTAGAAGCGTAATGTGTGTTGATCTAGATGCACACATCACTGTCTGTGCTACTGAATTTTGTACCAGCTGAAGCTTCCAGACATTTTTCAGGAACAATTTCCTGAAAGCATGTTACAGTAATCCATACAGGTCATAATCAGGCCATAAATAACTGAATGTAGGTCTATGAATCAACACAAGTTTATTAATTTAGTAAACAAATTTATATAGCCATCCAGCTCACACCTAGGTGACTCCAGGCATCTTAAATTGCATAAAGATCCTCTATTCACACCTGCTACCTGCTCATTGCTCTCTAGGCTTCCCAGAATGACTATAAAAATGAATTTTGTAGTAAACCTGCTTTACATTCCCTAGAATGTTAAAAGAATTTTGGACACTTTTGATATGTAAGAGTTTCAGTGCTATGCATTGTAAGACACTGAGCTGATACAAACCCAGCCTGGTACATGTTTTGTAACCATGGTTTATTTTGTTCAACTTTCATACTAAGCTATAATACAGTTTGGTTCAGCATGTTAGTATTCAGTCACTTCTTCGAATCAAAGGGGAAAACCTTTTCTTGTCTAGCTAATCTATACATCACTGGGGAGAGCAACATACTTACATATAGATTTTCCAGATATTACCAATACTGACTATACACATGCAATGTACTGAAGAAAGTTAGCACCTACCCTCCCCACTCCTAGAAGAATGAAATATTTTAGGAAATGTTGGAAAGGCAGCATATTATATTTCCCCGGCTGAGAAAGGGAGAAACATGTTTTAAAGACAAAGCAGCTCCCTGCCCCCCACTTCAGCTCCAGGGTGATGGGATTAAGACATGGCCCTTAAAACATGATAGAATTAGCCCTCTACCCATTTAGCAACAGAACTCACTGCATGGCACCTGGGAAGATTACATCACCCAGCAAGATTCAACCAAGTTTGGGACTCAAGACACTACAAAGTTACCCCTGCCTGGCCCCATGGAAGTCTGACAACCAATCAGAATACATTTATTTCACAGGAACAGGAAGCTCCAAGGCGGGGCCCAAGAGTGGGTATAAATCTCTCTCTCCCATGTGCTCATTTTGCCCAGGACCTCAAACCACGTGGTCCTGTCCACCATTAAATCATCTTTCCAAGCAGTCTCCATGTTTCCGATGTCTTTCTTCACACATGGAACTGAACCCAGATGGACATTTCTTCCAACGGTACTTATCTGCATTCAGGTTCCCCATACACAAGGTATTGGATATGAAGTGTGGCATAATTCTAGTTTTCAAATTTGGGCACAATCATAACTCCATAAAATGATAAACCTCACCCCACCTCTATTAATAAAACAACAGAGTTAACTGGAGTTAGGATTGAACAAGGAATAAACATGCCACGTAATCTGCACAATGTAGGACCTCTTAACTTTTCCAGTGCCACAATTCCCTATTTAAAATTTGATCTGGAAACTGAGGAGTAAAGCCCAGAGTGAATTCAACATCACTCCTGCTTTGCCTGGACAATATAGTTATGACTTCTGTCAAAACTTACTCTTACTTTGCCTGGTATCTCTGCAGCTAGCCTGAATAGGCTTAGTGGCAAACAAAAATTTACAGTCCTTCTACTTTGCCTACATAGGCCTGTTATTTTTTAAAGAAAAACACCAATATTGTGGCCTTCCTCTAAGATGCTTGCAATCTACCAGTACCTGGAGAGGGCAAGACTACTAAGAGTTTGAAATCCTCTGCATAAGGCATAAGATAATGTGACCTTGTCACATTATCCATGATTTCCCCAAGCATCAACTGGCCTGCCTGCCTATATCTATTAATGTTTCCATTTCCCTCAGTTTGTTAAATTCTCTATGAGTGGACTAAAGTATTTTTGCTATTTGTTTTCAAGCACCCTCGCCCCCCACGAACCAAAGAGCCATATCAGAGGAAACGGAAACAAAGCCGTACTGTGGGGGGGTCCTTGATGGTCTCTGAGCTCGATAGTTTTCTTGCAGACGTTTCCTTACCCAAACTAGGTAACATCATCAGTGCTAGCGACATTACCTAGTTTGGGTAAGGAAACACCTGCAAGAAAACAACCAAGCTCAGGTAGCATTAAGCTTCCCCAATTTCAGCTCTGAGCCAGAAATACTCTTCTTTATATTAAAGCAGTATTGGCAATTGTATAAGAGACGAACATGGCCTTTTCCCCGAAGTGGGAAAAACAAGACGCCGCATCAGAGCTCCGTCGCCTCATAACTGAAGTCTGAGGAAAAGCTTGGGTAAACGATCCTGGGCCCTACCCAACCCCCCACCACGCTGTCACCTCACGCTCCAGCTTTGCCTCGCGAACGAGCATCGACCTCCACGCGCCTTGTCGCCCCCCCAACTCCCTTACATAGAAGGAACCGCTGCAGGAGCGTCGCCTGTTTTATGGGTCGGGAGCGCGTGAGAGCTCCCCCGCCCGCCTCGTGTAGGGAGGTGACTGATTGGAGGTTGGGCCACGCGCGCAATCTTGCCAGGAGCAGCGGTTGGTCCGGCGGCTAGCCGGCCATAGCGGAGGGAAGGCGGTTGCTCGCCGGCCGCGTCTCGTGGGCGACTCCTCCTCCTCCTCCTCCTGCTTTCCCCCCCCCTCCACTTTCTTCGTTGTCGGCGCGAGCTGCTGAGTGGGGGGGCCATGAGGAGGCGGCGGCTTCGAAAGGGGGCGGTGATGGCCATAGCTGCCGCCGCGGCTGCCCGGCACCTACCTCCGCCTCCTTTCCCCTCCTCAGCCCCAGACCGCGGGGCTCTGTGCGCCGGCCAGCCTTAGGAGGGCCGCGGCGTCCATCCACCACCAGCAGCGGTGGGAGGCGGAGAGCGAGCTAGCGCCCCCGCCGCCGCCACCTTGTTTGTCCAGCTGCCGTCCTCGATGTCTCCCCCGCCGGGGGGAGCTCACCCCACCCGCGCCCCTTCGGCCCTTAGAGGCCTCGTGGGAGCCCGGCCTCAGCCTCCCGTTTCCCGAGGCTGCTGCCCAAACCAGACACGACTCCCGAGGCGGCGGCCCAGCAACGACAGAACCGGCCTGGTCGTCTCCCCCGCGGCGACCATGAAGGCGGAGGCGGGAGACCACATGATAAACCTGTCGGTCCAGCAGGTGCTGAGCCTATGGGCTCACGGCACATCGCTTCGGCATCTCACGGGTAAAGGACGGGGACGGCGGGTGCTCGGTGGCTTTAGCGGGACTGGGAGGGGGGGCGGGCGGGAGGTGATAGAGGGTGATCGGTGGGCAGCCTTTGGAAAGGGAGAGGGGCTTCTTCTCAACTGTAGACAATGTGGCGCTGCCCAGATGTTTAGGATAAGTCCCTAGGGTGCCAGTGCCAGGGGATGATGGGATATGCGACCTAAAAAATGGGAGGAGAGAAGCAGTCACCCACCCGTGCCTACCCATATTCTCAATCTGGCATGTAGCAGGTTTCAGGTTCCCTGGTGAAAAGGTGAGTAGAAGTGGCAGGTTGTGATTTAATAGCTGATGCTAATTTCATTATGGTTGGTATAGAAGCATTTGTGTGGGTTGAGGTGGGATGATTTTTCTCCCTGCCTTCGGCTTCAGTCAGTCAATCTTCCGGAAATTAGAAGGACTAGGTGAAAATTTTCAGGACTGATGTACCATTGCATTCTTCCTTGAGTAAGAGAGTGACTGGTCCAAGGTCACCCAATTGTTTTCCACGCCTAGAGTAAAACTGGAAGTTAGATTCCTGTTCCTAGCCCACCACCTTAGCCACTAGACCAAACCTGGACTTAGTTGGGATGAAATGATATGATTCTTTATAGATCATCATATTCTGTAGGAATATAGACAGAAAATAAGATGCTTTTTTAAGCCAATGTATGTTCAAGAAAAGGAATTTTAAAGCTTAGATCTGTAAAATGTTTCTGATGCCTTTTTTATGTAGACATAACATTCTGACAATGAATTTTGATTGTATTTTGGTTTTACAATGTGTCCTGTTTACTAAAATATCAAGAGGAAATTATCATATATGTCTTTTGTACATTGGGATGTGAGATCTAATTTTCTGTTTCTTTTAAGGCTAGTTAGTTAATAGTGCCTGTGGTATTCATAGCTGATCAGCAAATAGTTAGGAGAAAATAATGAGAAAAATAGCTAAAGTTATGTGAGAGTTCCTAAAAAGGAAGACCAGAAAATATCAATACAAATAATTTCAGTAAAAGAAAAAAAAATGAAAAACATAAAAAACCAGTGTGGTTACACAAAAAGAAAAAAGTGTAACAATGTGAGAAGGAAGAATGATGAAAGAAAAGCATGTGCAGGTAGTCTAGAACGATAAATTTAATATCAGGAAGCTAAAGCTCAGAATTAAATAAGATCATTAAAGGATACTAAGAGCAATGTCTAAGAGAAATACGTTCAAATACATTCAGATTACTAGTTGCTGAGTAAAAGTGGCGAAATTCTAACAAGTAACAAAGAAAAGACAAAGTTTCCCAGTTCTTTAATCCTCTCCACAAAGAATATATGTATGTATTGTATCCCATTAGGAAGTGGCGAAAAGCAAAACAATGGACAGAGTTAAAGCTTAGAGATTGATAGAATAATGGTCAGGAGCTATGTACTTTGAATGAGTTTAAATCTCCAGAGCTACTTAAATCGCATGCATGTTGGAAAATCATTGAATTGACATGACTGGTGATTGGCAAGTATTGTCTCTTATCTCCCAAATTGGGAAAGAGGCTAATCCAGGGAATTATCATTCATTCTCTTGTTGATATCTGAAAACATTTCTAGAGTTCTTTATTCTTTGCATACAGTTAAAACAAAAATACGTACCCTAGAAGCACAAAGATACGTGGAAAGCTTGAACGATATATTGCATCAAGTGATACAGTTTCATAATACAATATCAGGTTGCAGAGCTATACTAAGAGCCTCTGTTTTATAGTAATTGTATTAAATATTATAGTTAAAAATCTAAGAACCAGTACAAATTAAAAGAATAAAAATAACAAAAAGTATATGAAAGAAAAAGAAAGTACTTATCCTTTATAACAAGTATAAGTAACAGTGACAAATCACTTTCTCTTAAAATTCATCAAATAATCTGTTCTCTCATCTCTTTTCTAATGTCCTAAAATGTGGTGACTTCTCATTTTTTCCTTGTCCCTTCTCACAATATTCAAAACTGTAACAACTCTCTTATAAATCCAGTATAAGAAAGTTATGCAGGTCAGTCTTTTGATTTAGCAAGACATCAACCATTTGAATATCCTGTGTAGTATCTCCTTCCACAGCATTCCCATAACCCATCATCTTTAAACCCACTTTTAAATCAGACTCAGTCTCATAAAGTTTGCTCTTTTTCCATATAATCTTCCAAACACAATCTGTATATAATGGCAGACATTTTTAAAATTAACTTCCGGTTCCATTGTTCATTAAAGAAAGTATTTGCTTTGTTCTGTACTAATAAGTCAAATTTAGATGTTTTTCTCATTTAATTGTAATCTTTAATTCCTACTGGTTCCCTCTAGTGTCCAGTCTTCAAAATCCCATTTATATATATATTATTAAGTATTCAAAACAAACAGCATTTTCCCATGAGAAGGATTCTGATAATTAATTCCAGAATATTATTTCAAATCCATTTGGGCCCTTAGCTCCAATGCTCTAGAAACAGCAGAAGAGAAGAGAAAGAACTGGAGAAAATCACAAAATACAAAGACCTACAGATGGAATTAGGATGACTATGACAAAAAAAAAGCACAGATAATACGAATCATAATAGGCACCTTGGATGCCATCCCAAAACATCTGGAGCACCTCGTAAACACCATAGATATTGATAAAATCACCATCAGTCAATTGCAAAAGGCAGCTTTACTTGGAACAGCTTACATTGTGCAATGATACCTTTAGCACCGTTGAATAACAACATCTGCCTTTCCCAGGTCCTTGGAAAGAACTTAATAGAAAGATAAGAATGCCAAATCCAGTCTAATCATCTGGATGATTGTGGGACAAACCATATTTTTAAGTCCTTAAACTTGTATGAAACTTCTTTCATTAAAGATTGAAGATAACTCATGCAGTGTAGTAATACTTGCTTTCATTAAAGTACCTAATATTCAAAAAGTGGTTTACAAGCAATTTCTACTTTTTGAAGCTATTGAACCATGGTTTGGGTTAGGCTGCTTTATTGTTTTATTTATTACTATCCAAAGCAACTCTGAGTAGCAACTGTCTGAAGCACTTGGTCCTCTTCGTCCAGAGAGGAATAACAGAGTCTGTCCATTCACTGGCTTTTTATTCCACTACAATTGTCAGATCCACTCTCATGGAACTATCTTTAGTTTGCCATTTCTTCCTCAGAAGAGATGAACTATATGGTAAGAGCTTCTCAATAGTAATGACAGTGGAACAGAATTTGGTCTTAGGCACTGAATTTGACTAACTTAACAGCTGCCTGACATAGGATTTAGAAAATATTGGTCAGATAATGTAAACAGACCACTATTACAGGGATCTCTCGAAGCATCAAAATCAAAACGTTTTGTTTCAGCTTTGCTTTTCAACATTTTGCCTATTGAAAAAGCAGAAAACAATATAATATTTACCATTTGTCAGGCTGGAATGGTGAAGAACAAGTATGGCTAAACTAATCTCTATTGGGGAGAGGGAATAGGTTCCTTAATAGAATATGAGAATGCCATAAATATAAAATAACATGATTTTAGCAAAGCATTTGATAAATTCATTCCATTAGGCTTGACATTCTGATTACCAAATTGTTAATTGTGAGCTGGATGACAAATAGATATATACCTGGTTCAAAAATTATATTCAAAAAGTGCTCTTTTATAATTCACCATTAAACTGCAAAGAAATATTGGTCTGGGGCATTGTGCCCTTCGGGATTTTTTTTTTCTTGTAATGCTCTCGGTTATTTTGAAGAGGCAGAAGAGATGCTGATCAGATTTTCAGATCAGACAAAATTGAGAAGAATAGCTAAAAATTGAGAAGAGCGAACACAGAAATCAAAATCAAAATCAAAATGTGGTGATCCATTGGAGAAATAGGCTAAGAATACCCAAATAAAATGTTTATAGTGCTAAGTACAAAAAAAATTCTTGAGAAATTAAAATCAAATGCATATGCATAAAATTGGCTTGATAATCATACTTTAGGGGGGAAAATCTTGAAATAGTTGTTGATTACCCTTTCCCAGTGGTGGGATTTAGCCAGTTCACACCACTTTGGGAGAACCAGTTGTTAACTTTCTGAGCAGTTTGGCAAAGTGGTTGTTGGAAGAAATCATTAGGGCAGAGAACCGGTTGTTAGATTACTTGAATCCAACCACTGCCATTTCCTTTTGTTAATTCAACTTGCAATGTGGCAGATAGGCAAATGCAATTTTAGATGCATGAACTGAGATGTGTATCAGCTGTATTAAAAATATAGTTTTCAAATCATGGGAAGTAATATACCTTGCACTGGCTAACTGGTCAGGCCCCTGTTAGAGTACAGTTCTGTGCACCACTTAAGAAATATTAAGATAAATTGGAACATGTTCAGAGAAGAGCAAAAGTATGATTAGAAGACCAGAAATGATGTCTTGTGAAGAGACATTGAAAATGCTAGACATATTTAGCCTTTGTGATAGCAGTACCTGAAAGGATATCACACAAAAAAAAGATCAGAACCTGTTCTTTATTGCTCCAAAGTGCAAGAAAGATAACAATGGATTTTAATGGAAGTCAAATTCCAATCGATGTCAGAAAACATCTTAGACAAAAAGAGTAGTTTGAAATAAAACCAGTTATCCGATTGATAGTGGGCTTTCCTTCTCTGAATGTGAAAAGTTTTTGGGAGTAAATAAATAAAATAAATGTGTTCAGCAAAAAGTGGAAAACATCTATTTTTGCACTAAGCAAAAGGAGTTTCTTTTAGTGGAAGGAGCCATTTACCAACTCTATACTTTTATGACGTTTGGTATCAATTAAACATTTACCACGCCTGACAATGAGTTAGCAATCACTAATATTTTAATATAAAAACATTTTAAATTATAAAAATACATCTAAAAAGCACCATCTTAGAAAATGCATATCATTTCTATTGTTGTACAGTATGTCTGTCTGATGGATTGAAGTTTCATCAATAAAGCTGTTCTTCTCTTTAGAA